CGAACATTTTTTTTTTAGAGAAGAGTAATCTACATCGGAGAAAATAAGCATTTTATCCACAGCATTGTGACTAATTGTAATAAATTAAATGGCTGAATATAGTTGACGTACAGATGGAATACAGGATAAATAATAATAATAATAATAATAATAATAATAATAATAATAAACAGAGATATCCCGAATGATATATTTGTTACATCTTTTTATGTATTTAAGTCTCTGTATTGACTAATCCAAGAAATATTCTAAGAGTGGTGAACGAAGATTTCAAACCGTTAATCTATATACAATTAAAAGTGACTTCCTCACTTTTTTTATATATCAGAATGGTTCATTCAAATTTATAAAAAGTGACTAAAGGAGAAGAAGGGGAATTTCACTGATTATTTCTGTTTATAAGCATAAAAGGTTGGTTAAAAAAATAACGTATTATAACATTTCTACAAGAAAAAAATCCTCAGAATTTTGCAGTGCAAATACAATTGGGACACGCTAGTCGGCTGAGCTTTCTCGTTTAATTTATGCCCTTGGTTTTGGTCATGTTGTCTTTGCGTGGATTCGTTGATGCAGCTAAATAAGGCGTGTTTATGAGACACTTGCCCGCGGTTGCAACAAAATTCTGAACTGGGACATCAAGATCACCGTGTAAGGTGTGTGCTGATTGCATGCACACTTTGTTGTGGCAATGACGTTTTACTTATGGTCAATGTTTAACATTTCGAGGTTTCAAAGCTCACAGTCAAGGTTACGCGGTGAACAATTTTGGTACCACCAGAAAGGTCTTGTCACAGGGAGCACATGTCTAATATGAAAGCTGTACCTCTTATGGTGCAATCGTTATGGACAAGGTTGAAGTTGACAACAGACAAACAAACAAACAGACCGCACAAAAACAATATACTCCCGATCGTTCCGGATTCAGGGGCAAGGAAACGATGTAATGATTGGAAATAATGGCTGTGAACTACAGGTATACTGAAGCGTATTTCGTGGGAAAGTAGATCAAAGAAGAAATATAAACAGGACGGAATCATATAAATAATGGAGTTGTTGGAACGTCTTCGTCTAGTTTGGAGGTAAGATCTTCCAACAGACTATTGACTATGATACACCTGCCCTATTGACATACCCGTTTGGGAACTAACTGTACCCCTCTGTCTGCTGACTTTATCGAAGAGCTTACCAAAACTGGTCTTAAAGACATTGTAAAGTCGTTTAATTTCACTTTCAGATATATTGATGGCGTCTTGTCTTTAAACAACAAGAACTTTATTGACCATCGTCTATAAACCAAGAATAGGAAATCAAGGACACGACAGGTTCTTCTACATTAGCCTGAGTTAACGTACCCATTTAAGATTTTTAACATTTGTCTTTTACCTTTTGGTTTGTTTAATGTTATTTCCTTTTGGATCGCTGTGTGTTTTACCGTTTGGTGGCCCTAATGGCCTGTTATGTGTTGACGGGCCGTTAAGAATGTAATAATAATTTTTAAAAAAATAATATTTCTACACTAGCCGCTTATCTCGATCTTCTCTTACAACGAAACCAGCATAGACAGCTTTCCACAAAGCTGTAGGATAAGCGTGATGGTTTCAATTCCCCTATTATGAATTTTCCATGTCTGGGTAACAATTTTCCTGCATCCCCAACCAATGGACCTGTTCCCGTTATCCCGATTTTCGTGCAATTAGCCACAATCCTTCAAAAGATGCAGGTAGATGAAAATTGTGGGGAAGTTTTACGATCAATACCGAGATCTCATTAAGAAATACCGTTTCTTTGTATGATGTGGAGCTGAACGTGTTTGATGCTCGTTAGTTTGCTTGTTGGTTCCTTTGTTATATACCTTGTTCTCATTTGAGAAAGTGACACTACCTACTAGGATTTACCCAGATTTACTTGGCGGGTGTCATGAAGCAGACGACGCTGACTCTTACGGACTACCGTAGTCTTTATCTCCTTGTACTGTTTTTAGGAATCTCCGTGGTATCTTTTTGTTCATATTATGTCTTAGATTTATTGAAATTGAGTTTGGATTACGCTAACGTTGACATGTTGGTATTTTTTCCCTTCTTCTCCTTCTTTCCTGCAGTTTAAAGACACACAGTGGTCATATCAGTTTGTAAAGCTTAAATATATTTATCGTTAGTACTGCTGTATGTACATATTTCAAAAAGAAACAATATTGATGCGTACATTTTACTTACAATATATTACCAAGGAAAAGTAAATAAATTAACATTTCAGTATGTTTTAATGCCAAATCATTTTGTCCTGTGGTTAGATCGGTCTTTGCGTGTACATTTTTCAGACATTGTATTATACAACATCGGTGCTGCCTCAATATTTGAGAATAAGGCATTCACATTAACGGTTGTCACTCAGATGTACGTGGACGCAAATCAGTCACGTACTTACTGCTCATTAACGTAAGAATTGCAACATCGATGTGTCTATAATTTTGTGTCCATCAAAAACGCAGATGACTTATTTTTATCCCCGACCCCCACTCCCAAAAAAGAAAAGAAAACAAGCAACAAAATACAAAAACAAAAAAAATATGATATGAATAATCGAGGCAGTGTAGTAACGTGTATTATACGTCCCCGGAATAATGTATCGCACGCTTTTGGCCGAGAAGTAATATGTTTTTTTAATAATCTATAAAACTTTTCTCAGTAAAGACTTGGATTTTTTTGTTTATTTCAATGTATTTCCAGACATCATTTCCAAATATCATTTGAAAACAAAAGAAAACATGTTGTTCACGGAATTGCAAACCGATTCCTATTCTAATTTTCGTTTTGTCGCTTTGTCGGAAGGAAATTCATTCCAATATTTTATCGTTCAAAATCAATTTGACATCAAGTTAAGGCAACAGCGAAGTAAAAATATAAACATAAAATGTAATGAGCGAGTTTTAGGCGTTGAATTAGTGAATTAACGGAATTTCTCTTGAGAAAGAGGCATGTAACCATGTGACTTTCTCTGGCGTACAACCAGATCACGTGATCGGCCTTACATTTCGCCATCATGAACATGAGCTACAACGAGATAGTCATCAAAGTTTGCACATGATGTAAGTAAAATAACATGTTGAACAACCCAAGATTATGGAGGAATATTGTACGTTACATATTTTGGTATTATTTGCCGATATGCTAAACGAATGTGAAGCTGTGTTACTCTTTGATTTCATTGCTAAGAACAACATACCGAAATTCCCGCTTGCTTGCTTGCAGCATGCAAGATGCCGTGTACGAAATAGCATGGCAACATCTGTCTAATAGGTTGCACTGGCTGAATACATTTCATTGTCACTTCCAATGGGATGAAATATCTCGATAGCAACATACCTATTTTTGTATGATTGAAAGGGTCATATCTTTCTGTTTTGTTTGTAGAATATGAAGTTGACACAAAAATCACTTGACGTGTGTATTCCACTGAAACCATTATTGTATACCTCGCGCACATGCACACACATTCACACGCGTGTTTATTGTTCCAAATATTTAAAGAGTTCTTGCTCACAGCAGCCTTACGTAATGATGCCTCAAATCATTGATGAAATAGCAGACGCTCGTTCGAACGTGTTTAAAATAAGGTAGCTACAATGTTACAGCTATACATATAACATTACGATTGTGTTATTGTGTTGTCTGACTGCCGAGGAAGGAGGAAACCGGATATTAATATTAGCATCAGAAAGCAATAACTGGAACCGAAAAAAAATGCATTTTAACCTGGCAGCTTTTATTTATTCATTATTTACTCTGTAGATCATTTTCAAAGTCTATATATAGAATTGTCAAAAATGGAGAGCATGAAGCTTCACTTAGTAGCCTCAAGAGATCCAAGTGGTGAGCAGTCGTGGTTAAGAAATAAAGCATGAAATTAATACATATGTGTATTCCTATACTTATATTTTGTATAGATGATGAGTATAAATTAAAATGGTAAGTAGGCTACAATATAAATAATGTGTGTGTGACATGGTAACTTTTACAAGAATTCTGGAGATCAAGAAGCTTTAAGCTTAAAAATAAGACCATCATCAGGATGACAACCAATCTGAAAATTGATTGTAGGAATGCATAGACTGGTCTTTCAAGTGTCATTTTACTAATTGCTGCCTATGTTAAAGAAGTGAAAAAATGGAATTTTAAACAAATAACTAAATTAATTCAAAATTATGTCCTATGAAAACTGTAAAGAATAATTTCATAATGAATTAAAAATACACGGAGAACCTTGTATTGTCACCTGTCATACCCAAAATTCACATATCACTATTTGCCATGTTTTGGATGTACAAACATTACATTGTGTTGATACACAACCAAATTAAACTGTGATATTATCGTTGACTTTACAACTAAGTGAGTTCACGGATGAGTTGTACACAACTTCATTTGAATGTGTTAAATTTATTGATATCGGACCATCTATTGCGCTTCATATTGTGCCAGTTATTATTGCATCAAAAGTTTCCATTTGTAAAACAGGCAAATGGCATTATGAACTTCACTCTCTCGTGTGAAATTAATGTGGCATCTTTATTATATAGTTGTTGGTATTATCATTGCAGCTAACATTTTTCCATTGAAATTTACTAAGAATCTAAAAACTCATACTGCCAAAATCATGCTTGATGGAAAGTTTCGGTGAATCAAGGTTATACTATATTCCTTGGAAATACTGAAGTGCAAGTAAGGATGGCCGAAATATGGTGCATTTTTTTGATGTAAAAATACTAAGATCTTAAAAAAGGAATATTTTTTCTTTCAATATTTGACCATATGTTTGACTTTTACAAAGATTTTAATCTTTGATAGAAAGTATCGGTAAGATATAATATACAAATTTGTAATATCAGTGTTTCTTTCTGTTACAGGAGTCCTTCCTCAGGTGAATACAACCCAGATGTCAAGTGAATCAGGTCCAACTTCAAAGCTATGATGGATTTCAGGAGATTAAATACCTGAACAACGATGGAGGTGTGCAGTCCAGATACCAGCAATATTCTTAATCCTCCTCCTCCTTCAGGTGATGTCATCCAGTCACTTGTCACAGACATCAAAACAAACCCAGCTAGCCAACCCTTTTCCACGAAGCAGATGGTCAGTTCAAGTAGTGTTCAAATGATGCAGGAATTGACATCAAACTCTGCTAGTGGTAAACCATCTGATAATGGAGACGAAATCTCAGCTGCCATTTCTTCAACGTCAGTTTCAAATCCTGGGGCAACTCGTCCGAAGTTGCTTGCAGAATTGACATCTGTAAGAGCTACCCCTAGTGTAGAAAATCTGACAATTAATATTGGACATGAAAAAGCCGTCCGTTCAGAAAGTCCAATAATTATAATTGAAAATATCTCAAAAGTTTTTCCAGTACCGTTTAATTCTCATGGACAGAAAACAATGCCCAATCTCATCCCCGGTGAATCTCAATTGACATTAAGTAAGAGAACCTCCACTTCTCAGGCAAGTACTGCGATGAAAAAGCCAACACCTGTTCAAGTCATGCCATCCGTTTGTCCTGATAGTAATATCAAACACCAAGAGATAACTGTCACGGACAGCAGTCGAGCAGGCAAAGAAACATTTAAATGCGAGGAATGTGATTATGCAAGTTATAACAAGCACTATTTAAAACAGCATGTTGATCTTGTCCATCATGCTGACAGACCATTCAAATGTCCCTTTTGTGATTATGCTGGTAAACGGAGTCATTCTTTACGAGAGCATTTGATTGTTCATTCGAATGAACGACCCTATGAGTGTACGCACTGCAACGCCACATTCAGAAAGAAAGGTCATCTTACAAACCACACGAAACTCCATCAGAAGACTGTCTTCTGTAACACATGTCGTAAATCTATTATTCATGCTGAATTGGAGTCACATGTGAAAACATGCCATGCTAGAGAAAACGTCTTCGTTTGTGAAATTTGTAGTTTTGTTGCACCAGATGAAAAGGCCATTTTAGAACACATCAAGCTGCACCAATCTCAACAAGTCTATGTATGTAGTACATGCAAGCACATGACTAGTGACTTTGATGCCTTTGTTGCACATGCAGAAACACATCAACAAACATCTGCAAATACAGACACAGGTATCACAGAACTGAAATCTGCTTCAATTAAAGCTGACCTCAAACAAACTATTCTATCGAAACGTTCACATGACCCAGATCATGGAAAGGTGTCACCTTTGTCTAAAATTCGACCAGTACAAGCTACCACTAGTCAGCCAAGTAAACAGGACCTTTTGCTGAAATGCTCGGAGTGTGGATTTGTAGCACCTACCACTACACTTATGAAAAACCACATGTGGACCCACTTACAGAGCATTGATGCACCATCCTCATCATCCAAAGAGGAAAATGTTCCATCAAAACCCATAATAGAAAAATTGGCATCACAGGAAAAGTCTGTGTACAAATGTGTGGAATGTGATTTTGTGTGTGATGAAGCATACAATTTTGTAGTACACATGTTAGCACACAAACCTGAGCTTCAGCACTCAAATGTTCCATCAATTCCGGTGCCATCATTTTCTGTACATTCTGCACTAGGACAACAGCAACAAAGGCAAGCTACACCCATAACCTCAGTACCAGTACAGGGAGTTCCTGTGCCATCAGTACCAGCGAAAACAGTATCTATTCAGTCGGTACCATTGCAGTCACCACCAGCATCGTCCGTACAGAGACTTAAATCTGTAAATACGGCCACAATTGAAAAACAGGTTGCATCTGTTCACATGACTTTGGTTTCTTTTTCAAATTCCCCATCAGTACATTCAACATCAGCAGCAACAGCCTCCACATCTGTATCAGCTACTGTGATGTCAACAGGAACAGAATCAATATCCCACTCTGCCATCCGTCAAGATCTCAAGGAGACTATCCTTGCCAAACAGCAGAAATTACCTGCAGGAAAAGATGGAGAGTTACCTCCTTTTATCCATGACAGAGTGAATGCTCGATACCTGTGTACGATTTGTGGATATAGTTGTGAGTTTCAGAGGACTATAAAAGCTCACATTTGGAAACATTCAGGCAACCAGGACATAGAATACCCAATGTTTCAAAATGGTCCACTCAGCATTTATGATTCTGATGTAGAATCTAAATCATGTGTGAATTTAACACCAAGTTCTGTATCTGTATGCATGATGGAAAAGGCACACAAAGTATTAAAAGAATATAAGACTACCTCACAACACACGTCTGTGAGTCCTGTTGCTCCAGCTTTAGCTCACCTTTTGGCTGCAAGGGCTATGACAGGGCTCACACAGGAAGTGACCTTACCAAAGGTTACAGAGACAGAGCCCAGATCGGAGTCAGAGGTCAAAGATTCCACAGAGGAGAAGGGAGGGAAGTTATCTGCTTCAGTTGAAACAGATTTTGTCACAAAACCACTGTCACAACCAGTCTTGGTGCCATCCCTTGGAAATGACATGGATATCATATCTACAAGGAATGACACAGAAAATAAATCTATAAAAATACCAGAGGAAAGTCATGCAGAGCAAATTAAGGGAAAAAATATTGAAAATTTTAATAACACATCTGTTGAACCATCTGTTGTTGGAAATGATAGCAAAGAGGAAATGGACACAGCAATTGAGAAAAAAGAAATACAGGTAGATAAGATGGAAGTTGAGAAACAAGGTGATGCATCTCCCAAAACCTCAGGATTAGCCCAAGCACCTAACACAGCAAAGAGACGTAAACTGAGTGAATCGAAGTACGATGTAAATGAAATGTTACAAATGGTGAAGATGTTCTGTGCATCAGAGGATGCTGAATGTGACGATTCTGTAGAGCAAGGGAATGTTGTCGTGGAAACAGTGGACAGTGTGGCCAACTTATCAGGGCTCACCAGCATAAAGAGTCAACAAGGCAGTCCCCGCACATGCTCAGGAACAACAGGATCTATTGAAGGGGAGATAACTGGTGGATCAGAACAGGACATGGAATGCGGTGACTCTGGGTTCATGTCTGATACAAATTCCGGTCAATCACAAGCTAATACTTCAGAGCAGGCTCAGATTTCAACTAGACTTGGTGCCAGGCGATCAGGAAGGTTGAAGAAAAAGGCCATCAATGCTCTTAAACCAAATCACAAAGAGGATAGCGAACAGAAGGCTAAGCAAGTGTCTGGGAATGGAAAGTGTAAAAGCAACGTTTTTGATGATGAGATAGAGAATAAAAATAATGAAAGAATTGAAACATTAGAGGAAGATGTTCGACCATCATCTATGGCAGAATCAGCTGTAACTTTACTGTCACTGTTGAAAAAAGGAGCAAACCACAATCCAGCATGTCCACCATCAGTGAATGATGTCAAGGACAAACAGTCTGATGTCATTACGAAAAAAGTAGATAGTACAAAGGAGAAGACTCCAAAATCTCAGGGTATTTCCTCATCTCTTCTTGCTGTCATTGAACAGTTGAGGGAAAGATCACGGTCAGAAACAGACTATGATGTAGACTCCGGAAAGAAAGGTTCGAAAAAGAAGTCCCGCAGGCTCTCTGCAGAGGATGAAGGGCCAATGGAAAAGATGGACAATGTTGAACGTATCGAAGAGGCAGAAGAAGACGAGTCAAGGTTTCGGTGTAAATTGTGTCACTACTCGAACTCTAGCACTTTCGTTATGAAGCAGCATATGCGTCTTCACAAGACAAAGCGTCCATTTGAGTGTTCTCTTTGTGACTTCATGGCAGAATCTAGTGAGGACTTGCAGAATCATATGATAAAGCACTGTAAAGTTAGGACTTACCAGTGTAAGTTGTGTCCATCTGCATTTAATTACAAGAGTCAACTGCGAGCTCACATGAGAGCACATAACGAAAAAGATGTTTTTGCATGTGAGGAATGTGAATTTGAAACAGGAAACCCTAATTTGCTTAGAAACCACATGATCAATTGTCACGAACTCAAACAATATGTGTGTGAGGAATGTGATTGCAGATTTAGCTCAAAGCAACAGCTCAGAATTCATAAGAAAGGCATGTGTAACGCAGAAGATGAAATGCCATTGATTGTATGTTCTGATGAAAATAAAAAGGATTCACATGATCAGAAATCTCAAGGAAGGTTACACAAACAGGATTTCAGTTGTGCAAAGTGTGATTATGTCACAAACTCCTTTACTAGATTTGGTAATCATATGAAGACACATGAGGAGCCTAAGGTCCTAAAATGCGAACTTTGCGACTTTCCTGCTGTGTCTAATCGTAGTTTGAAATCACATATGAAACGACATATTAATGACCAGCGATTTGTGCAACAGCCGCTGGAACAGTACAAATGTAACCTATGTGGCTATGTATGTCACCACCTGCCATCACTCAAGTCCCACATGTGGCGCCATGCTAGTGACCAGAACTATAGTTACGAATTCACAAATGAAGTTATAAATGCAGCTATTGATTATGACAGTCGACTTGACACCAAAGAATGCTGTGAGGATGATGTTGCAGAGTTCAACAAAACCATTCGTGAAAAGATGCGGATTCGACTTGCTAGTCAAGGTGTCACCAAGGATGCGGAGAGCTTATGTGCAGTCTGTTGGGTTACATTTCGCTGCTGTCAGTGTGGATTTGAAGTTATAAACAAAGCACAGCTCAACTTACACATGAAGACACACTCTGATGTTATTCAGTGGACTCTCCAGGTCTCTCAGAACAGCCAGGCCGGAAGTGGTACAAGTGGAGGACAAACTAGTGCTAGTACTGTGGACATTGGGGAGGGAAATAATCACAATAAACAAAGATCTGATCGGAAAGGTCTAGAGATCAGATAACAGGTGTGAAAGGGAATATCTGTAGGGAAATAGTAAATCTGATAGGCCAAAAGATGGAGAAACATATATATATATGTATAGTTATGATCTGATGGGAGAAGACGAGATATAGAAACAGATCTGATGGGAAAGGACTAGATATATAAACAGATCTGATGGGAGAAGACAAGATATAGAAACAGATCTGATGGGAGAAGACGAGATATAGAAACAGATCTGATGGGAGAAGACAAGATATAGAAACAGATCTGATGGGAAAAGACGAGATATAGAAACAGATCTGATGGGAGAAGACAAGTTCTATAAATGGATAGAAACAGATCTGATGGGAGAAGACAAGTTATAGAAACAGATCTGATGGGAGAAGACAAGTTATAGAAACAGATCTGATGGGAAAAGACGAGATATAGAAACAGATGTGATGGGAGAAGACAAGTTCTATAAATGGATAGAAACAGATCTGATGGGAGAAGACAAGTTATAGAAACAGATCTGATGGGAGAAGACGAGATATAGAAACAGATCTGATGGGAGAAGACAAGATATAGAAACAGATCTGATGGGAGAAGACGAGATATAGAAACAGATCTGATCGGAGAAGACGAGATATAGAAACAGATCTGATGGGAGAAGACAAGATATAGAAACAGATCTGATGGGAAAAGACGAGATATAGAAACAGATCTGATGGGAGAAGACGAGATATAGAAACAGATCTGATGGGAGAAGACAAGATATAGAAACAGATCTGATGGGAGAAGACAAGATATAGAAACAGATCTGATGGGAGAAGACAAGATATAGAAACAGATCTGATGGGAAAAATGGATATAGAAACAGATCTGATGGGAGAAGACAAGATATAGAAACAGATCTGATGGGAGAAGACAAGATATAGAAACAGATCTGATGGGAGAAGACAAGATATAGAAACAGATCTGATGGGAGAAGACGAGATATAGAAACAGATCTGATGGGAGAAGACAAGTTATATAAATGGATAGAAACAGATCTGATGGGAGAAGACGAGATATAGAAACAGATCTGATGGGAGAAGACAAGATATAGAAACAGATCTGATGGGAGAAGACGAGATATAGAAACAGATCTGATGGGAGAAGACGAGATATAGAAACAGATCTGATGGGAGAAGACGAGATATAGAAACAGATCTGATGGGAGAAGACGAGATACAGTAACAGATCTGATGGGAAAAATTCTAAGATACATGAATTTAATTTAAAGGATGCTTGGAATCCTGGCTCCTGTATATATTGGAGATAGTGCAGGATGGTGGAACTGTAGGATTTTAAGTTCTGTAAAGACCAGTTTGTCCCCTCGTACAATATCTCAATTATTATACTATTAAATATGTGGGGATTGAATCTGATAATAATGATCAGGCCATAGTTCACTTTGACTTAAAGCCATCATGACATATCTGGCTTTGCATACAGCCACACACCTGGAATTTAAGTCAAGTGCACAGTGCTAAATATGGTGAAATGTTGTTAGTCGGAACATTTTGCTTGTCTAATTCTCAAATTGTCTTACTGAAGAAAATGTCAAATATGAAATGTGGAATTAGAGAAAGATCTTAATGGTGTTATTAGAAATATATGTTTTGTAATATCGAGTTAAGGTCACATGTTAACATCTTCACAGATCTCGCATTTTTTTCTACTTTTGTCTGAAATATTAAATTTCTTATTTCATCATAAACCTCCATTAATTCATTATGAAATGAATCTGTATATATTATTGCTGAATGGTTTTAGTTGAAAAGTTACACATTCATTCTGACACTACATAAAGCCTACTCTGTCTAACTTTGAAAAAGACATGAGGCCAAATTCTATTGAATGTTAGGCCATAGATGATGTTATATAGTATCTTGTGTATATGATGTTTTGAAATATTCTGTTGTAAGTTGGCCGTGCTTTCTGTTATAGAAATCCTTCAATCCTATCTAAATACAATCGGAAATGAATATATACCAAAAGATTGATCTAAAATCAAATTGTTAAGAGTAAGATATTCTTCTCCTCCTTAAACTGTATTTTACAACAATTTGTGGAAGAAGTTGAATTTACATATTAGCTGAAGGGCAGAAGGAGGTCTTACCATAAGAGGAAACCTGGAAACCCAGAAGAAACCTACCTACCGGTAGTTGGGCTGGGGTCATCATGACCATCATACTTTTTCACACTAGATTGTGGATTTGAAATCTGGTTGGGTAGTCAGGTGAAAGGCAAGAACGCTTGAATGGATTACCACTGTACCTGGGCACCAGACCACCCAAGAATCTGATTAGATATTGATTTTTATTGTGTTAAATTATGGCAGATACATATACCAGTACCAAAGATTTATTTAAATAGTGTTGTGACGTATCAGATGTGATTAATGAATCAATGCAGTTTCACAATTTTCAGAAAAGTTGATGAAGCATGTAGTATTTATTAACAGCAAAACAGGAATCTTTAAATGATATTATTAATGAACAGTGTGATATATGGGATAATTTGCCAGTAATATATTCATTTATCAACAGAAACAATTACAATTGTTGTGATCTGTGAACTATTTTTTTTGTTTTTAGGTATGCAGGTAATTGAAGTTATTCAAAAATATCTAATTACTATCTTTTCTTGAAAAATAAAATCTGGTAATACATTCTACTGACTGCTTTAAATCTAAATAAGAAATTAGATTGTACCAAATTGTACAATTTTGTAGCGGACTTGGTCGATTGTCAGGTCAGGTAGCTGATTTACCAGGACTTTACCAAGAGATTGGAGGGTCCCATTTACGGTACAATATAAATATTATTATTAGGAAATACTTGTAGTCATTTACTTTTTAATTTCATATCAATGTTACCGGTAAACACATTGAAGTATATTGTTGATGTTTTTGTGTCAAATGTATATTTGTTTATTTGTGTACGTGTTTTTTTTGGTTTTCACTTATTGTGTGTAACGTTTTGAATTATGAGTGCTTAATTAGTTTTATTTGAAATTTGCATAAACAGATGTAATTAAATTTTGATTGTATTTATGCATAACTATCAGTCAGGAATGTTGAACTCCTCGGGAAATTATTGAGCAGCATATTTTGTTAATGTACATGTATAGTTGATATTAGTTTACTTTCGTGACAATAGCAACAATGTACATAAAACTTTAATATCAAAATCATTGTCTCACAATCACGCAGAATTTTTTAAAAATATTTTTAAATTTTGTCCTTGATGTCATGATGAAAATTTTGGGTTTGCAAAGTTTAAAAAAGTTTTTTAAAATCATTGTAAATGAATTTTTGAATCCTGTTTAGAATGCCATGTACATTGATTGAGTAGGCAGTGGTCAGTTGGTGGATGACCATAGATATGAATATTGGTGCTACATTAACAGTTTGTCTAACCCAAAAGATTGAGTCCTACTTGGATGAATATGAAAAAAACTGCATAATATGAAAACATCTATAAAGGTATGGGCATATTTTTAATTTATTTTTTTTTTTAATTTTTGGCTATTGTTGTAATTAACAGAGATTAAATTTTAGAGTACGTTCTATAACTCACATATATTTCTAAATGACTAATTCCCATTTATCATTTATTGATTCATAATTGAATTTCCTAATTTTCATTTTTCCTCAAAAAAATTTGTTTTGGTTTAAACAGTCTGTGAATTTTTTGCTTGATTATTTCTACATCTACAGCAGTTAAGAGAGAAAAAATGGTATTCCTGTTTTGGTTTTGTGTGAGATTTTCATATATTTATGGTAATGGATATGTGCATAGGTTTGTTTTGATTAATTTCATCAGGATTTAGACATACCATAAACTAGTAATGCATGAAATCTTTCTCATATATAACTACATTTTTTATTAACATTTTAGTGAAAGTGTTGTCAGTTCTTTATGAGGTCTTCAACAATATTTTTGTAATGATCCCGATCATAATTTTCCCATTGGGAAGATATGTATTGTGAATATACTTAATTTTAGCATAACAAATTTTAGTGTGGGATATTTTTTTGGCAAATTAGCACACTAATGAATTAGTGCATACACAATTTTTGCTCTATAACCAAAATACAGAAATTAGTGCAGGCATACTTTAACACAATATTTTCAGAATGAAATCAGCTAAATTATTATGACTATGAAAATATGAACATCCACAGTATTGTGGGGTTCCAAGTACTGATACCACAACAAAAGTGTCACAATATGAATCTTGGTGAAGGGTTTTCCAGATTCCAATCCTCTTGATGATTCTGATACTTAGGATAAGTGTTGTTAATTGTTGAATGATCTAAATTGATCATGAGATATGTTGATGAAACTCAACGTTATAGAATCTTGTAAATAATGTGTTATATATTAAAGTGAATATGATCGGTCAAAGAAACTCATTATTGCAACATTTTATTTTTTAAAAAGTAATTTTTCTTGAAATGAAAATAATTTTCAAATATAGGATGACAAACTAATCAGCGACCAAGATTGACAGTATTTGATCTTGAATAGATGCTTTTTGTATCACAACCAGTTAAGAATTGATGTGTGACATTTGATAACTACACTGTTGCCTTCATTAGACAAATGACAAGCTTAATGCATAATATGGTACTGCAATCACAGGAATTTTTGGCTATATCATATACTTCTTGTAGCTAGGGAAGAAAGTAGTGTGACAGAATGGCGAAAAGATTGCATTGGAAACAGGATAAATTGAGATATCCTTTGATCTCATTTATGAAAGAAGACCGCAGGATTTTATTTTTTAACACAAGATTGCAGCCTTAACTGGTTTGGCAATTGGTAAATTTCTTTTGAAACCTATATGTATATATACTAGCAATAATACACAAACCCTCCAGATGTAATTAAAACATTTGATGACATGGAAAATATTACCTGCCATTTACATTGTCATACCCCGAAGAATTGTTTGGATATTTACTTGTTGGTTTGTAAATTAAACAGCTAAAAACTGATTTTCAGGTCATTTTTGTCATAGAGGATCAATTAGTTGTTGATTTTTTTGGGTATAGTTGTGTTTGATCTAGGACCCTTTGTTTGTTAAACTTTCTGCTTTCTTTATCAAACAAAAGTGTAATATGCCATAATGAATCATAATACTACTCAAAACCTCTCCCCCAGAAACATTTTTACATGTTGTAATGGAGGTCTGAAACATTCTGAGATAATAGAGAGCAATCAACCATAAAGATTGATATAGGATACATGGAAGTCTTAATAGTAAATGTGTACTGTAAAAGTATATTTACTATAAAGTCATATCTTTTTGTGGGATTCAGATTTCGTGGTTTTCCAAAACTACACATTTTCATTAGCACTTGATTTTATGGTCAATTCTTGCTCACAAAATCTGCAAGTACAATAATCCATGTCACCTTTTATATATATATTATTTCCGGGACATGAAAATTCATGGATTAAAAGTACCCACAAATTCAATGAAAATAGATCAACCATGAAAATAGATCAACCATGAAAATAGATCAACCATGATTTTTCAGGATAAGATTGGAAATTTTCACAAAATGTTAGGAAACAAACGAGAAACAGCCTCAGTTTAATTAATATGTATGTCATATAAAGATCTTGTGCTAATTCATTTTCCACAGGTAACAGCAGAGTTATGCACCTTCCTTTGTTGCGTTTAAATCATTTGGCATGGTACAGGGCATATTATCTATATGACAAATTGTCTTAATAAGTTCTGATTGGGATTACAGAGTGTCAACTATGACTTTTTTCTCCAGGTCATGTACAAGTCCTACAATGTAATCACCAAAGTTCCATGCGAACCCGACATATTTCCTTATCTTAAGCTTGTGGTAAACAAAATTTACCTTGACTGGAATAATCAGTACTACCCACCTGACAGCTGTAAACACTACTCAGACTGACCTTTTGGTGTTCAAATAGCTCACAAAGTTGAATGAATAACCACCACAAAGGGGTTATCTCTGATCAACAAATCAGGATATAAAATTGATGGTATGATTCATTTCTCCTCAGGCTTTGTATGTGCTTATAGTATATCTAAATTTACCCTGTTTGACAACATCAATTTCTTTCATTTGAAATGTTAGGTTCAATAGTTACACTGGAATATGATTTCCCCTAGTCAAGTCATTCTTTTCTTGATAATAAATTAATTTCCTTAATTAAATTATAATAAGTATTAGTTATGTAACAATTTTGTCTCTACAGATACAGAAAAGATCTTTTTTTATTTAGTAGTAATCAACCCTTACTTTACCGTATTTATCAAAGTAATAAGCCCATGGGATCAGAGCCTGGAACTAGGATTGAAGTGGGGGATGGGCTTGTTACTGGTCATGGTACATTTACCCAGATTTGATCTCTAAAAATACATACCTTATGACCTAAATCTACAGATTAAGTGCTGTTTTTACAATATATTAGTGTATACTGTTTTGGATAGCCCGATATATTTATTTTATTAATTGTAAATACTGTATAGAAGGGCCTGTATTGGTGATACCATCTTCTGCTCGGGCTAGATTCTGTGCTCAAATCCAAATTCTGTATTTTAATGATAGAGTATATCAGCATTTTTTTTTCTGAAAGTGATTTGTAGTTTGTGGAAATGTAAAGAGACATGAGCATGGTCATTCAAATGGATACAGGCCCCTGTGTTTCTGATACATGTATACACTGATATTATGCAAGTTTTTTTTCTCAGTATTATGTAGTTATGGTTATAAATCTGATTTAATTGGACTGTTTTAAATGATATCTGCGATTTTATCATTAAAATGTAGATTTGTTCATGTTAGAGTAGTGTTGTTCTTTCTGCATTTGTCTTTTCACACTGTCATCCAATAGTAGGGTGTTTAAATTGTCCTTCACCTATGGTCTGTACTCAAATGATTCTTATGTGAGAAGTAATGGCTGGATTGGGTTAGCTCACTTGAGGGACAGACTTGCACAATAGGGGATATATTGCAAATTCTGTAAAATCTGTCTTCTATAGTATTCATTTTAAGTCTGAAGCATCCTTTGGTGAAAAGGACTCAGTTTTGTATAAACAGTGGATCTCAACCCCCAGGGGGCAGGGCTCCAAAGGGGAAATGAGTTTTAAATTAAGTCAGGAGCATCCTTTGAAGAAGGACAACTTTTGTATGCGTGTAAATGGTGGAGCTAGACCCCAAGGGGGCCAATAAGACATATAATGTAAATTCTTAAAAAAAATCATTCTTTTCTAGGGATGACAGGTTTTTGTCCAAATTTTTCAGAAGCATCCTTGCCTGAAAGATTCAATTTTGCATAAATAGTAGGCCTGACCCCTTTGGAGCAAAGGGTCAAGGCCCAACAGAGGAAATTTACCGAATTCAATGAAAACAAATAGAAGGGTGGAAAACAATCGGTGATAAAAAAGTAAATTTTGACCAAAGTTTTTAAGGTCACACTCAATATGAACTATTAGCATTTAATATAGTCCTTGTCTTTTTATGGACATTGACTCCCTGATAAGATAATATCAGGTCTATTTCTGGTAGGTCGGTGGTTTGGTGTTTGGTATTTCGGCTATGTTATTGTACTGGATTGTCGCCTGCTCCTTGCTGGGCGGTGTACTGGCGAACATCACCGGACAACACCCAGTATCTGGAACGTGTTTCTGCCTCACCACTTCAAATGTCAACGCTCACTCGGGCCGTAAGTAGTCTGTATGGTAGAATTGCGGATGTTTTTCTCCCTGCAATAGTACTCTCACCGATTTCAGCAAGACCTTGGTTTATATGTAAGTCCGTGATTAAGGGAGGGACAATGAGCCCGATCTGCACCTTTTAATTAACCTTAACTTGTGTATAGTCTGTCAACTATTCTTCACTGTAACCTTGGTAACTACAACAGTAGTAAAGCAGAGGTCCCGGGTTCGAATCTTTGCGGATGCATTGCAACGACTTCCGTCACATAAAGGTAGTCGCTTTTGATGATGGAATGAAATCTGGAATTTTATTTTTATTGTTATGTACATGTATTCCGTTTACCTCAGCTTGTGTTGTCCTTGTCTTCTAAACACTAGTGTTGTATGTTTCTGTTCGTTTACCTCAGCTTGTGTTGTCCTTGTCTTCTAAACACTAGTGTTGTATATTTCTGTTTCGTTTACCTCAGCTTGTGTTGTCCTATTTCTGTTCCGTTTACCTCAGCTTGTGTTGTCCTATTTCTGTTCCGTTTACCTCAGCTTGTGTTGTCCTTGTCTTCTAAACACTAGTGTTGTATATTTCTGTTCGTTTACCTCAGCTTGTGATGTCCTCGTCTTCTAAACACTAGTGTTGTATATTTCTGTTCCGTTTACCTCAGCTTGTGATGTCCTTGTCATCTAAACACTAGTGTTGTGTATTTCTGTCACTTTCCCATTAGATCTCTATTGTCATATAATGTTCTTTTCTTTTCTTCGGCTGGCAAATAGTTAGACTCTAAATGGTCCTGGCTGTCGATAGACCGTTAAAATCAATCAATCAATCAATCGGCAAGCATTGTCATCTTCATCTTACCGTTTTTGTTTGCATATTTACATTCGCCAGCTGGAATTGACTTCGTCATCTCATCCAGTATGTTTCGTCTCCTCATCTAGAATTATCCTCGTTATCACTTTAACTTTCATGGTATCTTTCCTTTCACCAGCTGGCCTCCACGAGCCAGTCCACGCATCGTTGTCTGTAAATCAATGTTATAAGTTCCACGGTGGTATCCTTACCAAAGATGGCTACACGTGGTACCAACTCCAGAACGTCCACGGAGAGGTAATTTTAGAGTTGATGCTGACATCTGTACCTTGGTGTTTATGAAAATCTTATTTAGTTATGATGATTACTAGTACAAATGCATATTTTTCTTCGGCGTCAGAAAAAAATCTTTGCTGCAATTTACGATAACTGTAACTATTGACAATGCGATTTTAAGTTATGAAGTGAATGATAAATGAAATGAAATAAAGTTTGAAAAAAATGTAAAAGTGTATTTTAATAAGGATATAAACTCGCACTCCTGTCTTACACTGCTTTAGTTAATTTTGCATCAAATGATATTACATTAACCATGTATACTTCTCCTGGCAACAACTAAAACAAATTCTATGGTATTGAATGTCAACATGAATCAGGTATAAATTCGAATTGTTTTTATGTTGTTAAAAAAAGGACCATGCTTTAAAAATATAACTATTTAAATATTTAAGTTGTGTAAGAACCACTATCTCCTATATCTGAATCTATGTAACCCAAATCCATTTAGTTTAGAAAATTTATATTTTCGCAGTATTACAATAAAGCTTACCTATCTACGGTGCCTTTTTTTCGTAAAGTAACATAACTCCAAAAGAGAAATCTGCAGCTTTCCTGACGATATTCTCCTGATTCTGTCAGATTTTCTCCGTTTCCTTAGAAACATATTCATTAGTTATACCCATGTAAGGACAAAAAGTCAGAAAGTCATGATAACGTTTTTTCAGATTTGAGATTGAAATGTTTGACGGTTTATCTTTTGTTGACAAGTCGCGAAACAAACATATCTGGTTTGACGGGAGACAGAATTACAATATAAAGTATTATAACTGGAATATTAATGCTCTGTTGACTACAATGTAAAGATCTGAGTATTTTAATTTAAGTAATTACATAGTCAGGGCTATCTTCTAGAAAGATATCTTTATGTTAATGACTTTATCTTTTGTATTCATATCGTTATCTTTGTGTTCATGACTTTATCTTTGTGTTCCTGACTATATCTTTGTGTTCATGACTTTATCTTTGTGTTCATGACTATATTTTTTACCACTTGTAATCGAATTTCTTACTTGACATAACAAGTTTAGTTGGCGCCCTTTGCTTCAAGAAACGATGACATTTTGACAAATGTCTTGTAACCTATGCCGTGTAATTTAGAAAACCATATTTAATGCTCTCTAGTTGCTCGACGTGACGTTTTGTTTTTATTGAGATGAAAACAAATTGTCCTGAGTTCATTTGACAGTGTTTATTGTTTTTTACATTGTGACATTATACACATATTTATTTATTTATTTTTGTTTTTTTCTAAGAAAATTATCAAAATATAAATCAGTATATGCACATGCGCCTCAGTTATATAAGTGTTTACGCTTATGTGGATACGATGCCCTGAATAGCATTAAATGCATATTATCTTTTTAGAACCTTTGGGTAGCAGGGACCTTCTTGAACATAGCATCTGATGTTGCACTTTGCAGTGGTAAGTCTCCTTTTGTTTTTGACTGACAAGATTTTGATTGCTCGGAAAAAGTTGGTTGCTTTCTGTTTTTGTTTTCAAGTTTTTACTAGACAGAAGGACAAAATATCACTTGTGACTGCCTTAAAATGTAATTTTATGACAGTCGTAAATTTAAAACGCATACTGTAGTAACAGTAATGATGAAGAATCGAGAGAATCTATGGAAAGTTTTATTTCAGCTGGAGCTTCTACATGTTCGGACACAACTGCTAAAAATCTAGCATGCGAGATTCTACAAATGCATAACTCGGGTCGAATTAACCTATGGGATCGTCATCCTTCTGGTAACCACGACAACGCCTATGCCTACAACAACATCCGGGACACTTGTAGAGGATTAGCAGCTTCCAGATCAAGGTATCTATTGGATGCAACAAAATAATGCATAAAGTCTCCCCGTTTGTATATACTATAGATAACTGTTCAAAAGTTACATACTTAAAGTACATTTCAATACAAATTAAGAATTAGATAGAGCAGAGCCAGATAATGAATAAACTTTTCCGTGTGTCGGTCTTCAGCATTAAAACACATAAGGCAACTAAGTTCAATCAAAATTGGTTGAAATAAATGTCAAATCTAGGAAGTGTACTTATTCCAAAGTTCAATAAATGTCACATTTTTCAATATTAGATTAATTCAAAAGACCGCTCATGGCATTTTGTACATCTAAATAAGACAGTGTGTTCCGGATGGGTCAGCGTCTTCTGCTTCATAGATGACACTCGTCATATAGGTCATGGCCGATCCGAGTAAGCAGTGTTAGGTTTTCAAAGTACTATTATGTATTAATTGGGAAAAAAACCCGTTAAACTTGGTGAGTCTATTAGTCTTGAGCTTGTGTATAAAACATGTTTACAAGACTGCAATGTTACTACAAAACCACATGTTTTCGCGTTGCTCAATGCTCGTGGTGTTTCAAATGTTGCTATTTCGTTGACCCTTTATTTCATGGACAGATACAGTTCAATGAATATGCTGATACACTAAGTTTAATAGATCGTGGACATATGAATTCGTTGATGAAGAGTACAAAGTGAAGGAAATCAGACCTCAACAAAAATTAATTATTTCACTGTAGATTTGTTTTGTTGATCATTACACGCCTGTAAGAAAACCTATGTCTGTTCGTTTTTCAGTTACTACTGCGACCTGTGCGGCACCGATACACCCGGGGGTACCGTGTGCCTCAGCAGGACATTGTTGCAGTTTATCTACGATTTGGGCAAAGCAGGCAGCATGCATGTAAGTAAAACTGTTACCCAGTAAAACAACTATACATATCTTTATATTTATTATAATGTTGACTCTACATACAATGTTGTTTCATATTTAAAAAAATAACCAAAAAACAAAAACTGATGTACGTTTTATTTGATTGAAAAACATCACGGTAATCGAAGTATTGATAGTAATTACCACAAAACAACTGTTGTAGTATGCAAAATATGGTTTGAGGAAATGGAATCCCTCCTCCAAATAATTATACTATATCTATATTAAATTTTGAATTCATTAACATAATTTTCACTGAACAATGTTCACATAAATTTTAAAAGAAGTGGAATTAGACACATTTTCAAGAAATATCAAGAAAATACCAATATGGCAACATAATCATAATTCAAATTCAAATACCATAAAACTAGGGCAAAATATTAACAAAAGAAAAATTTACACGGAGACTCCTGAAGACGTACAAGGAGAACAAGACCTGGTGTTCCGGAAGAGTAAGCGTCATGTAAAAGAAAATTGTATAACCATCTGATGATGTACATATAAGTGGTCACTTTAGCTATTTCAACCATTTTTATTACATCATCGTATGCTTGACTATGTTACAGGTGAATGAAATAGCTGGAGCGTGTCACCACTGTCATTCGAGTCACTACCTAGGTACAGCTGTCGACATCCAGACCAGTTCCAGGAACAATGAGATCATGGCCAAGTGTAGATCGATGGGCGGATTTGCTCTCGATGAAACCAGCCATATTCACTGTAATTTCTAATAAAATGATTGGAAAGACTGTATACCGTAATGCCTTGATGTTCAGTCTTGGGCGAAACCCTTAGAAAACCGAGATGTGAAAACCGAGATGTGGTCAAGCTTGTTAACTATTTTAAATCGACTGATTTAACACCATCCCTACCTCCGCGCCTTATCTAACGTGGATGGAAAATGAATGTCGGGGAAGGAAGGATTAGTAACGCACCTATCATCCGTGCGACCTGAGTTCGACTCCCTGATCGAACTTCCATTTTCCTCATATAATAAGATAACTCACACGTTTCTTTCCGGTCCAAGTTCTTTTACGATACAGGTGGAATACATAAACAATTATTAATACATAATTCTAAATTTCAAGGCCATCTGTCATTCTGTCACACTTTCTTGCCATCAATCTAGCTAGTAATTTCATAGACATGTTCTTAGACAACTTTTGTTCAAATTTCACCAACTAAAAATGTAATTTTTAAACAAACGATTTCTTTGCCATCACATTAGGAGCCATAATTAATATGTTAATTTGATGGGATGTACAGTATGATGACATGGCATTACCTGTCATAAACTGTGTACTAGATATGTAAAGATAATTTGTATTGTTTGTAGTAGGTATCAATTAACTGAAGGGTTAGTTGGATATTATGGCCTGATATTAGATATACTTTATTTGCAAAAACTTTCATTTTCTGCATTTACGTGGTATGTACATGCAAATTTTAAGTTTTCTTACATTGTTAAAAAGATGATTTCTGTGATTTTTGTTAGGTATGTTATCATCTGCCTTTTCTTAAATTTCACAATTTTTTCAACGAAAATACTTAAACACTGTCATGGACTTTGACAAATCAGGCTTGCATGAACAGTTTAGAATGAAATGTTTGTTTCATCAGAATCTTTTGTACAGTTTTGGAAAAGTATGACCCCTACATTCAAACACCTCGGTGACCTCGGTAAGTTTCAGAGATGTCTGACCTGACCAGGCCATAAAATCTTACACTTTATGCATTGACACAGACAAGGGTCACCCATATACTGTAAAGGTTGTGAAGGTTTTTGCTACCAAATTTCTTTTTCAGCCATAAGCCAAAGATACTTTCTCAAGGTCGGAAAGTAGGATTATTACAGGACGTTGATATAGGTTTGGTTTATATATAAGTTCACTGAACAGCAACATTTTTATGACTGGGATTATTAGAAGACTTGGACTTACTGCAGGAGAAATGCAGTATCAATAAGACAAGAATGATAAGCAGATACTTTGAAAATAAATCGACGGTAAAAATGACATTTGAACCATCTAAGAAACCTATGGATTTCCTTTCAGGTATTCAGTTTTAATCCAATTAAACGTTATATTAAATATGAATCGATATTATGGTTTGTGATCCTGTTTGTTCAGGATTTCATATAATTTGTATTACCTGTCTATGATCAGTTTATAAGTAAATTATATCAATATTTGTTGACATGTTGGTTTTTTCTTGACATTTTATATGATTCATATCTTCTTTGATGTCTGAATCTTACCAAACAAATAAGTGTGAACAAACAAGAGTTGTTTTGCAGTTGTCACCTCTTTTGACAAAATATTATAAAATTAGTTTGTATTAAGGAATCAGTATTCAACAATATTTAGTGGTTTCATGACTGCAAAATTATGGTAGACTATGATATAAAACAGGACCCATTCAAATTTCTATATAGCATTTTGAAGTTGTTTGTAACATTTTGGAAAAAAAAAAACAGCGAAAAAAGTCCATAAAGTAAAACATAATTTTAAAAGCTAACGATAAAATCACAAATGTGTTAAGACTTGACGCAGCATTCCTTATCTATCTGTCGTCCATTTTTCCATTTGTCAGCCTATTCTTATAAATTACATATGCTATAAATGGCTGAGTGAATTTTGACCATATTTGGTCAAAAGCATCTTTCCGGGTAGGGAAAAGAACTCTGTATAAATGGTTGACCAGGGTCCCGTGGGGCAGAACTCAATAGTCTAACATATTCTTTTAAGATCATTCTTCAGTAGGAATGACAGAAATTATCTTTTCCAAATTTGTTCTGAAGCATTCTTTGGTAAAGTGAACTAAATTTTTTACAAACCTTGGGGGCAGATGAGTGGAGCTCAATATGAAAAATGGAGGAGGTTGCAGATTATTTTGGGAAGAACTTATAAAGACAAAATGTCGTATAAAGAATCCTGGAGGGATAGGAAACAATTATGTTCAATGGTGGGTCCGGGCTCCCAGGGGATTGAAGGGTGTGGTGGGTGCCACAGGAGCAAAATCTTCTTTAATAGGAATGAGAGGAATTAATCCGAATTTTGTCTGGAGATGTCCTTTGGTGAACGGAAGTTTATTTTGTAGGTTGCTCTGACACTCCATTTGGCAGAGGGACAGGGCCCAAAAGGGTATATCTAATGACTTCTGTGTAGTGTTTAATAAAAGTCCATAATGGACTTGCTGAGGTGAAGACTTTGATTCAGGTTCTGACAGGACAAAGGTCAAAGGTCGCTGTTACCTATCAAGTGCTGGATGAAGTTTAGTCAAATTTTATATGAAGAATCCTCTTGATCTTATGTGGCAGATAATCAAATTTGGGACTGACAGGAAAAACAGTCTGGCGGACAGATCGGGATCTTGGATTTTGATAGTTAAAGTTTGTTATTGCTATTTCATCATAGGTACTGGTTAGATAATTTTTAAATTTCATTTGTAGATTCTACTTGGTCCCTTGTTGTGCACACTCAGTTTGAAGTAACTAAAAACTAAATATGCCCTAAAGGAAGCCATCTTGTACTTTAGAAGGAAATGTTTGTTGTTGCGATTCGTACACTGTAGGTTCTCCTTGGTCTTTGACTGTGAAAGAGTAATTTCTAAACAGATCGAAAAACAAAAAAGCTAACAGACAGCTATTTTTGCTTTTGACAGTTTATGTCTGCAGCAATATTCGACTTTGACCGGTAAAGTTTGTCATCTCTATTTCTTAAAGAATTATTCTTAAAATTCATATGTTCTTGGTTCTTGTTGGTTTATTTTTTGTTTTTCTTGTTATAGATTTAGGTACACTTGGAAGACAAAACGGCAGGTAAAAGGAAAGAAGAGAGATGATCCAACTTTTACTCTTTGGCAACCCTTAGTGAGATTAAGGTCACTATAGATACCCATAAATAAAGTATAGATATCAAAGATAATTGATGGATATCCATATATGGTAACCATTTTTAACGTTGCATTCCCCTATCATATGTATATGGTAATGGATGCCATACTTTCTCTGGGTTCTTTGGTTTATTGAAAGATTGGTGTTGCCTCATACCAATGTCACGGCATTCAGATTTACAGTATAAAATGAAAAACACTACAGCACAAAGAAGTTACTTTGAAAGCTAGTTTTCATTCATGTGAAAAAAGAAGAAAACGAAATGACGAACTGTACAAGATCTGATTTATGAATTTGACCTTGTTTGGCTTTCAATTTCATATGATTACTATGGAAACGCATGATACCGATTCATCATTTTTATACTTTTATTTGAGAAAAAAATATATACAAACACAAATATAATATACATGTACATGGTTATTCATTATATTAAACATATTTTCAACATTTTTTGGCAATAATCGTAATAAACATCACAACCTTTTGTTTGTGAAAAAGAAAACACAAGGGAATGATGAAAACGACATCATCCTTACAAGGTATGCCATCAAGAAATACTATTCATGCAATGGTATCCTTTTCATTTGGCTGGATCACTCAAAGGGAGTTCTGTTTTGACTTGGCGTGATGCCAAATATTTGGCTGTGAAATATTTGCCTTTAAAGACAGCAGTGGGCTTTGTGCTTTCTTTGGCAGGGTATAAGGTATCCTTTTTGTCATCTTGGCCTATCAAGGTATCTTCTTGGTAATCAGATGGAGATTGTCTGTTTTTTTGTTTGGACAGATATTTCGTGGTGAATTGGCGGCTCCTGAATGGTGCCTCTGGTTGAATGTCTGGACAATCTGTTTCCGATTTAGTGCCAACATCTGGGGTTCCATGAAAACTTGATAAAGATGGGTCAAGGCGACCTGAGAACAGTTATATATATGAAAAACATGTACTCTGTAAGTTTTAAGCAATATTAATTGTAATGAAGCATCTCATAATACAAATATATAATTGTCGATAAAGTAAACTTAAACTGCATGATACAACTGTTTCGTCTTTCTAAGACTCATCACTGATTTTAAAGGCCTAAATTTTGAAACTTATCTCGTAGCAAGTAGGTTACGACAAATTGCGGAGACCAAAGGTTCACCAGCAGTGTCAATGTTGTATTCTCAACTGAACATAAATAATATTTTGCTTTCTACTAAACGACACTATAAATTGGCGAAAAATCGATACAAATTTGATTTTCACATATGTGTATGTGTAATATTAACATGACGCAGATATCCTCTTACCACTGGATTTGCGTCTGGCCAAGTATAATTCTGTGTAATGTTTCTTCGTCCGGAGTTGCGTTTCTTTGCATTTCTGTATTGTACCGGTTTCATCGTTATCGTATCTACAGTCCTGTGTGCAGACACGAGATCCAACCGACGCTGTGTTAAAAAGTAAGTGATTATGGTATAACCGAATCAAAGTATATACTTATTTCGTAATTCATGAAAATCTTTCATTCTTCAAACCCACTGATAAAAAATACAAAGAGAATGAACCCTGCTTCATCGACATCACACATCATGTTAATCTTTAATTAAAGACAGCAACAAAACCACCAGGTATACTAACAAACATCAAATAAAGCACGCCTACGTAATGATAATCAATCAAAATGAATTATTTTTCTTCCAAATTTACTGAACTTAAAAGAAGACAAATATCTGTTTAGTATGATGCAATGGTGACCCTTTACCAAAAAATTAATTGTATATAGTAGAATATTACAGTTAGATGTATTGTTAACTGTAAATAGTTATGACTTACCTTTGCCTTTCTTCTTCGAA